AAGCTCGACGTTCGAGTATGCGCACTTTATCGTCATCTGACGATGTCTCTCGGCGGCGCGAAATGCACCGAGCATGCGCACTCAATGTGCCGCTGTGTCTGCGTGTTTCGCTCGCGCGAGAGACACTGCTACTCCCTTCCCCAACCCCTACTAAGCATAATTTTTTCCCCAACTTTCTCTGTTGTTAGAGAATCTATAAACCAACCAGAATCCGTCTTTTGCGTAGATATTTTGATGACTTTAGAGGGTACTAGAGAGGCGTCATTTTTTCGCATTCGTAATTAAAAAAAAGGCGAATGAAAAAGGATTTTCAATATTTAAAAGGCGGAATTTCCGTTCCTTTGCGATCATGCTTGACCTTCTAGAATACATAATGAGAAGTAAAAATGCTATAGAATACTCCTCATCGAAAATAATGGACATCGAAGTCCTAAAAGCGACAAAATAAGCTTTTGAGCCAATAAAACGACGATTCTCAATTATACATGGCATCGTTGTCTCCATTCTCGAAACAATTCTGAAAGTTCTACATTATTCTATTGTTCTATATTATAAGCTTCTGTTAGAAATGTTTCCTTAATACTACAGTCAACCCTCTTAAACAGACATTCCTGTAAGGTGACATATACCTACTGGACCACAAAGGTGAGCAATCAAGCCGTTCGGTATAGCTATCGCTTGAAATTTCAAGCTGTGGATGCATTCGAGATAAAAGTATCGATACTCAAAATTAAAAAATCTATCGTCATCCCTAGATATCTAGGGACAACTAGAAGAAGTTAATGGATTAGATTTTCAGAAATTATGGCTTTGGTCCACACATAGTTTTCGAGAAACGGGCACTCAAGCGTCAAATGTGGGTTGACTGTGCATGGTTTTGGTCTCGTAAGGAGCTGTCCATGGCTCCAGAAAATTCTAACGGAAATATTCCATTCTCGTCAATAGTGTTATCAAGAATCCTCCTAAATTTTAAATGATCTGTCTGGTCTTTTCGACGATAACTTTATAAAATTTCATTTTCGTCAAAACTTCATGTTTCTTTTTGTCACAGAAAATTCTTAACGTCACAATTGGAACAGGTCATTCCATCTGCCAGGTTGACTTTAGTTTTGAAAAAATTTGACATTATAGAAACTGGGAGTCAGTCAGTATCACTTTCTCTTAACGCGTTTTAAGAAAGCAATCACGCGAAATGCGTGACAATCAAATCGCCAGAGAAAAGCGAGCGAACTGACAGGAGTCAATAAGAACGACGTGAAACTTGCCACACACCGGTCACATGGCATTGAAAATTGAATGTATTCTGAACTGCATTAAACTTGTTTATCCCTCACCTTAAGTGTTCAATACTTCTGTGTGCACCGCAATTTCTTTGTTTGCACGGTTCAAGCAACGAGAAAGAGTTCCCAAAAAATTTATATTGACGTCAGAAAATAAAGAAATGCATGAACCAATGAGTTGTTGCAGTATTCTATATCCTCTAAATCTTAAAAAAAAAATGTGATAATTTGTTATTGCTCATTTTTTTTGGATAGACACGTGCGAAAAGTTTTTTCGATCCGGTCACAAGCATGGGAAAAAGAAAAAATGCTGAGTCGCGAGGAGTCGAACCTCAGACCTTCGTGCCCTGATGCTCTGCAACTGAGCCTCAGAGACTTCAAGCTGAGCTAAGCTATTACCGCATACTGCTTGGATCAACAATATGGAAAGCCTTATGTGCCAAATAGGAAAATGATGAATCATCAGCTGGATGGTAAAATGAACAAAGACGTTTTCCGCTTTCAGTATTTCGAGCGTGGAACGAAGAAAAAAAATTGGACTCATCATCTTTCTTACACTATTAACTAACACGAAGCTTTTCATACTGCTGATCCTGACAGTTTGCAGGATGTGTGTCATATACGAGCTCAATAAGCGCTTGACTACGTTTACAGTAAGCTTAGTGATACAGCGTCTGAGCGTGGCCTGACCCAAAGATTAAACTCATGAGCTCTCAAATTTCTATTTCTTAACTCTCCGAGACATTTTAGGGCTTCGAATGATTGAGAAATAAATTCAGAGGTCCCACATTTATGGTCCCACATGCATGACATCTTGACAGTTCCTCTAAACGTCGTTATGCTGATCAAAAACCTGAAATAGTCCACAATACTAGTTCTATTGTATAACGATCACGTGACTGAAAGGTTCACTTCAAAAATACGGTCGCACTCGCAAATGTATTTGAAATTACAGCTTTTTAAACGAAATAATGAACAAGAAACTTAATAAAAGCATGCAGCTTATTCTCTGAATCATTAATAATTTTGCGCTGTATATAATGATTGGATTCAGCACCCAACCCACAATAGGCGACGTATTTACGTAGTGTTTCATATATACATACATACTTCATTGAGACTCCCTTCAACAGGACTTTTCAGTCACAATGTCAACTGTTACATAATAATGGTAATTAACTACTACATAATACTGGTAATTAAGAAAACTTATTTACAGGAACTTAATTTAAATCAAAATATATTCAAAATTATTCAAAATATATCCAAAATTATTTGTCATGAAACATATTATTGAAAAGTATCCGCTTAAAACTATTAATTTTTTTAGTGATCTTACTATTGTCGGCTAGCCCATTCCATTCCCTTGGACACCAAAAGTAAAATATCCTTTGTCCTATGGACAATCTACATCGGGGGACTACAAAACTGTTACATCCCCTCGTGTTCTTGTTGTGAAATGCTGAACGTTTAACAAAATATCTGCCTAAATAATCTGCAGCTAAGCCATTTATCCGTAACATCCAACCATGTAAGAGATCTCTGTCCCTGAGAGATATGGTCGAACTTCCCTACACCTAATACAACTCTGGCAGCAAAGTTGTATAACAACTGCAGTTTGCGTAGATTATGTTTGGATGTTTCCAAACTGAGGAACAATAAAATGGTTTACTAAACACAAAGCTATTTATAAGTAATGAAAGTATTTTCATGTATAAGAGGCGTTTAATTCTACTTATCTGTACTAACTGTTCATGAAATTAGAGGCTGATTTAGTGATATGTACATCATAGGTAAGATATTGATCCATAGATACCCCGTGATTCTCGGAAAACGAAACTAGTGAGATAGTTTTGCCCAACAGGGATAAGGAGATATGAGTTAGCATCTTAATAAGTTGTGCTCGCCGTTCAAGCGGAGTGTAATTTAGTAACAACCAATGGACGCTGTTATATGAAAGTAAATGCAAAATTTTAGTCTTTTGGTTGTCCAGGAGCCTGTTTATTGAAAGTTACGGTAATCATTGGTCCTAAAAAGCTGTTTATCAAATATCAATGGCTTTGAAATTCAAAATATAAAATGTAAAAAAACTAAACAGAACGAGCTGGGTTTTGAGCGAATAACCGCTGTGCTATTCCTTAGATTAAGATCTTGGAATATGACCCGCGAAGTTGCCAAAATTTGCGAGAAAAGAACCGCTGGAATAAATCGAATCATTTTAGAATACATGCTGTGTTTTGTAGTAATACGTTTAGAATAATCGATGATATTAGTTCCGTTTTTTCGTGTTTGTTTCCTTTTTTTTGCCAGAGTATCGTTCATTGCCAAAGCAACTCAATATCCTGGATACATACGCCTAAGGAAATCTTAAGCCAGGCGTTCTAGATAAGAAGTTTAAGATCAGCATCGACGAGTTCTTTAATTTTGCCACTCTAAATTCTGGGTTGTTAGTAAAAAAACTCAATATTTGACAACTTGCGATAATGTTTTGATAGCTTGATTATGGAGACCCACATATCACCTGTACCTGACAAACTTCAACCTACTACATTTGTTCGAATTTGAAATTTCACACTTATGTAAAAGCGTATCGATCAATCAAATTAAAAAAAGTAATACGGTAAATGATTTAAACTCAGAGCAAGATATGATTGTGTAGTCTTATCATCTAGGCCTACTTGTTCGAAGGTCGATTAGCGCTAACCCAGGACTAAATCTATATCCGGGTTTCCGTATTTCTTTGTTTAAATGCCTTTTTGGAATAATTATCTCTTTTCCTTTTGGAGCATCCAATAATCATATTTTGAACAAAGAGAATTAGACTGAATTTTCTCTCACAACTTTCAGACCTGAAACCAGATTTCACTCTAACCCTGGGTTATCTAAACCCAGCCTTGAACAACCCGGCCCTGGGCGTGAGAAGTCCTGAGTAGGTAGAGTCTTCTTACCAGGACGATCAGACAACTCCATTGAATCTAGGTGCTAAAGCTGTTATAAAATTTATGCTAAAAGTCTACAAAATCTGAGCACTTAACAATTATCAAAAGGAAATTAAAAAAATCATGCTTTCAGCTCCATTCACAGGGTCCTCTCTATTTTATCAACGAGGCGATAAGAGAAGAGCTTGGGATGGACGTTGTCATTCACTCATTGGCATTTGTCTGACTGTAGAGAGGATGGCGACAAATTGGGCAGCTGCGACTGCAAATTTAAAGGAAACTTTTCAAGTAATGCAACTTAAACTTTTTTGAATTAAACGCGAGAATATTCAAGTCAAGAGCACCGTAAAATCACGGGTAGAACTAAAAGAGACTGCAAAGTTCACAATCGACCCAGCATTGCTGTGGATTCAGAACTTTTCTAAAGCTGCACGCAAAGAGATCTTTTCTCTCGAGTGTTGTTAGACCGAAACCCAGCTAATCACAACAGCTAATTAGAAGTTAATATCACAAACCAATGAGAGATTCAATTTAAACAAAGATAAGTTCCTTCAAAAGAGAGAAGACGCAGGACACAATAATTTATTTCCACCCCTTAGTTCACGCAGCCAGAAGTCGAGAGATGGCCAGATCAGGCAACTAACCCCCACACACTCCGCCACAACTCCACATACAAAACTGATTCAGAATTCTAACCAGATACCGTCAAATGGAGGGGACCACAAACGCGTTCTTCGTTTTGTAAGTTAATTCATAAAAAATCACGACTTTGTGAGCATACTTACACGCCATTCTGTATCATTGCAATGGCACACTCTCTATGAACCTTGTGTGAGCATGGCAGAATTTGACAACCGCTGAATGCGTCCTGAAAAAAAAGTTCCAAACGTCCATTAAGTAAAAGTATTTACAGGTATTATCCAACAGTTTAACTTTTAAAATCATTTCTTATTCGAATAATTCCATTAAACGCTTTCTTTTGTACTCAGAACCTTGCTAAAGAAAACTCAAGTGCTCTCTTAGTATCTTGCTGGATTTGTTTCTCAAACATTACATTTTCTAGATTTCACTTTTCACTATAATTAAAGCAGATGGGAAAAAGCTGTTGGCCAATATTTCCTCTTGCAGGGCCGATTTTGTGTGCAACTAGTGTCACGGATGTCTTTAGACAGTTTTTTGAAATCCATACTCTTGCAATAGCAGAAAGGAAAACATTCCAATGTGGATACGATACGACGAGACATTATCCCATGGAATCCAGACATAACGGCAGTGAAAACTGTGTAGTTGCTTTATATTAACCGAGCATAAACATTGACCAACAAAACTAAATTTATAGATAGGACACAACAAATAACATAATGTTTCACAACGCTATGAGAACACAAAATATTAATAATGCAGTAGAACTGATGACGAAATCCGCAAACACTGACAATCATTTAACAGGTAGACACGACAAACAAGAAACGATTTGATGTTATAAGTTTGTTCTGTTGTCTCACGACAAGGTCACTTGATGTAGAACGCAACGTTTCGACTGCTTTCTGAAGAAGACTTGCAGTAAGCATTCGAAACGTTGCGTTCTACATCAAGTGACCTTGTGGTGAGACAACAGAACAAACTTATGATATCATCCAACTACCACGATGAACAACAACCTATTTCATATCAAGAAACGATTTGTAACGAACAAGACAGAGAAATCCCCTTCTCTGGAAATATTGCAGCAACACCGTGTTAATGCGAAAAGTAAGTCACTACCTCCAAACAGATGCAGCACTCATCATGTCCTGAATTTTCTCGACAAGAATGTCTGCCTTCCAGCCTTTTGTCCAGACAGACGTTACACACATCGCAGTGGAAGGAGCGGTCTTTGAAGATGCTGAAGCGAAAACAGGAACATCACTTCGCAGGTAAATACTCGAGCAAACTTAACATGACTCATAAAGAAAATAAGTTGCTTAAGCAAAGTGAAAACCCTATATTTCTACTCGATTCGATCTACAGAATGAAATCCTGATGCCTATGAGGAAGCAAAAATTGATATTTGATATATCTTTTGAATACGATTTCGCAAAGACGGAGGAGAAAACAATGGCGGTGTTAAGTTTCATATGCGTATCGATCAGGGCTTGTCTCTCTCTTATTAAGCGTTGCTCTCGTGCTTAGGCTAGCGCCACAGTTTTCTTTCCATTCATACGATAACACTTGATATTGAAGCAGACCAATTACTCCCTTACTCTTTTGTAAAAAAAAGAATATCATCCAACAAACGAAAAACGAACAATTTTGCCATGGATATCGTTTCACCTACCGGCAGATACCACATTTTGTGCAGTGATATGGATTTTTGTCTGTGCCCGTGAAGTGTTTACTCATAGAACAGAAATATGCCGAGAACTTTGTTTTACATCTGGCACAGGTTTGGGCGTCCTGGTTGATCTTAAAAAACAAGAAAGCATTAAGAGCAAATCGCATATAGTCTGAATATAACTTCTTTATTTCCAGATTTGTGAAATTTTGAATAAAGGATATGTCTAAATACCTCTTGTTGATGGCCACAAACCGAGCACTCAACATAACACGCCTCTCTTGCTTTGGAATTATCATTTGAACACCCAGAATTGTTATGACAACGATGACAAGGAAAGAACTTTCCGCAGCATGGGAACTTGACGCGACAGAGCCGCTTATAATGTTCACAGAGCCATTGTCGACCCTCGACATCAGCGGAGGTTTGCGTAGGTGTTCCATCTCCACCACTTATCGGGTTGCTGACTTCTTCTCTGTCATTCCTGCGTTCCGCTTGTCTTGTTTCACTTGCCTCCCTTTCTCTTCTTTCACGTGCTTGTTGTTCTTTCCTGACCCGCTCTTCTTTTCTTCTTCGTTCCTTTTCCTTCATTGCTTTTTCGTTTTCTTCCTTTCTTTTCAAGTTTTTTCGGACAAAGGAACAGGTTTCGGCTACTCGTCGCTCTAGGTCAGCTAAGGAATCATCATTTGAGAGAGGTGAAGTTTCGTTCAAGACACCCAGTGGCCCTTGGTTAGCAGTGTCCTGATCTGCATCTGTTCTTGTTTCCCATGTTAGATTTCTGTTCATGGCTGCTTGTGGTAGAGCGGAGATTTCCATTTCTGGGGAGATCAGACCTTGTGCAATTGAACTGGTATTAGATAAACATGCAGGATTTCCATTCATCACTTTGAAATCAGAGTTTTTCTCCCGTTGTACTTCAGGATCGGTACGTTGATCCTTGACTTTTCTCTGCTGTGGTAAAAGGGGTGTTTGCGCCAGCAGCGAGTCACCATCGATCAAAGCATGCGGAGGTATCACTACAATTCGCGTGTCATCGCAGGAAAGGGTATGGAGGTGCTCCGATCCGTTGCAAGGAAGAGAAAGTAGAGGACGAGCAGGCACTGGTAGATCCCAAACTACAGGGTTAGGATCGAAGGGGCCATGAGGATTTGCACCTTGTGCTTTAGCAGATACCTTTGAACTTTTACAATGAAACAAGGGTGCTTGAAAGGCGTAAGTAGCCTGATAGCCTTGCTCAGTAGTGAAAAAAGATGACTCTTGATGCCTTGAGAAGGTGTTGGAAGACCCTCCATTGGCGTTTTCCGCTGTATTCTCTATGTCATCGATAGGAGTGGTAATGCTACTGTCATCTGTGTGGCGAGCAAGAAAGCAAGGCCTTATACCAAAGGAATTTGATTCTTTTTTATCTACGGTGTTTTGCATGTCATCTCGTGGTTTAACCCTCTCAGGCTTTGCGTCGTTCCAGTTAATAACCGATTCGAGATTCTCGTAACCTTGGCTCCTGTTAGAGAAAAATGGATCCTGTCCTCCATCTTTTAAGCCTAGAAATTTCCCAGGCGTTGTGTTGTGACTTTTTACTGATAGATGCTCTTTACTCTTGTCTTTACTCTCTTGAGATATCTTCAGTGACTTAGAATCGACTTTACGTTCTCTATTTCTTCGGTTTTCATCCGTAACATCATTGCACCAGCTGGTTGAGGCAGCAGCACCACCATGACGCTCCACCTGGTCAGTAATTCGTGGAAGGTTGTCGGATAGACCACCTTCCCCTTGAAAAAGTGGTTCAGCAGATCCAGTTGAGGAATAACAAGGATGACAGTTTTGGATTGCAGAACTACCGCACGAAGCAGTTTTTACTGCACCATCAACTTCATCATCCATAGAATGCCCTAGCCAAACATCGGTTTGAATACACTTATCCAGGTTTTCTTTACTCTCACGTAATTTGCCTTCCGTTTGAACCCTCAAGGTTAATGGCGGAACGAGTGGTGGTTGATTTATCTGTCCTTCCTCTGCATCGTTGCTACTATCGTTGAACTCTGAAACACTGAAATAAGCCATGCTAGATCTTTCTTCCTCCGATTTTGCACGTTTTGGAGCTTCTTTATCTCGTTTCTTCAATTCGAAACCACACGAATAGATGGAACTCGCTGATAATTTACCTTTCTCTGCCGGCTCTGACCTTGACCTTCTGGAGACCTCATCAGTACCTTCTTCACAGGAGGATGATGATGATGAGGTAGGAGATGATGATGACGATGACGATTGTGGTAATGATGATGATATACTTACTTCACTGGATGATGAAGTGGGTTCCACCAGATCTTCAGACTCATGAGAGTCACTAAGCTCTGTTTGAGTACTAAGATCACATGTTGAGGGAATACTCAAGGAATCTGTTTTTTGTGTTGATGATTCCGAAAGAAACGACTCTCTGGAAAGCAAGGTTGGAAGGGGAGAAATACGGCCTGGACGTTCGGCTTTAAGCTGCATTTCTAGCGGCTGGTGTTCCTAAGATCAGAACGAATTAAAAACTATAACGACAGCCCAAAGATAACTTCTGATCCTGCTATGGGGTTTAGGCAAAAAGGAGAAGTTCCTTAATTTAAAAGACGACCAAATTTTAGGTTTCTTCAGTGTAATGCATAAATCCTTGAGGTAAGCATAGAAAGCGGTAAGAAAGGTTCCTACTCTAACCCAGTCATATTTTTGGTTTTGTTATATTGGTAAGCCGGATTTTACATTTAGCATATGAACCGTCGCAGAACAAGGATTCGTCATGATGATTGAAAAACAAGTTTTATGCCTACAGTGAAAAAACACTTACTCTCATTGAAATATCCCTTGCATTTTCAAGCAGATGTGATGCAACACACCAGGCATTATCACTTTTTGTCTCGAAATGAAAGCCATAACTACGAGCACATTTTTCCATTTTGTCAGCGATGACCATCTCAATAAGAGAGCAATTGCACGGTGAAACTTCTTCGCGGACAATCTCAACTTTTCTACGGCCTTGAGAATAGTGAATCAAGTGGGTTTTCACTTCGATGGTGTCTTCATGGCACCGAATTACGATTTGTCCGATGGGTGGACCTCGAATTTTCAGCACGAGCTGGCTGTCTTTGACTACCATGTTCACAACCTCACCAAGCTCGTCCTCATCGGCTAAGATTTGCTTTAAAAGCTTTCCGAATAAAAAATAGTAATCCGCAATTACTTTGTCTTGCAAGATAAATGCTAGGCTTCCTTCACAAGTGTTCCCTGTGTAGACGAGAACCGGAGATTGCGTTTCAAATTCTGAACCATCCTTAGCTGCCGATGGCACGAGTGGTAAAAGGGAGAAATCATCAGAAATCGAAGAAAGAGTGCTTTCCGCAGAGGCTAGAAGTTCCAATTCTATGAAATATTGTGTTGTCAATTCTGTGATCTGATGGCTGCATAAGATCAAGTGAGGTAGACTGTCCTCTACTGCATTCACACTCCATACATTTATTTTATTTAATGCTGAAATATCAACTCCACGAGATATTGGACTCTCCACAAGAAATCTGCAAGATTCTTTCCACTAATTATTATCAGCTTTGAGTGCCAAAGTTTTCATAATTTGCCTCGATGTCCTTTCTCCAAAGTTGTCATCTTTTTGTAAAGATTTTGTACGCTCGTTGCTTTGAGAGTTGCAGGGAGTATCTGCATCATTTTCGTCAGTGACTTTTCGATTGTTCATCATCCCAAGAGGCGTCAAAAAGATCAGGTCATGCATAACTTGTTTGCCAAGACAATGTATCTTTTGAACTATAAAACGCAAAGCGAACCTCTTCAACGAGAAATACATGAGTTACCTGAGGTGACTGTTGGTTTGACAGGAAAGAAAATAAACTATGCACATCAGCTATCATCTCGTACATTTCCATTTCTACAAACGCCTGAAGGATTACAACCAGAGCAATCATCAAGTTTGTATTTTCGTCAAAAAATATAGTTTTGCTCACCGGTTTATCAAATCTCCTTGCCTTGTCCCCAATGAAGTTCGTTAACCGTCGAAACTCAATTTTTAATCTCTCTTGAACTTTCGGGACGGTTTGACACGTCTTAGATTTGAGATGACACACAACAAAAATCACTTTCAGTAAAATGACTTCTGAACAATCCAGATGATCATAAAACATACTTGCATATGTACACGAGAGAAAGAGAAAAGCGACGCTTTGATCCACTCCAATGTTAAACAAACAAAGACCAGCTTTGAACCAGTTAAAGCTCAGCTTTGCATATAAGTCCTTGGAGACGGAGGAATCCACAAAATCATCACTTTCTGAGATTGTTCCTGGACAATCCCCAAGATCAGTCGGTTGATGCTGGTTGAGAACCCTGATTATTTCCATACCAAACTCAGAAACCAGAGTTTCAAGTTTTAGTTGTTCTTCGGGATCAACATCGGGAGATGGTGTTCCTCCGCTTTGTGAAGACAATTCAATGAATTTTGGCTTTAATTGGCACTCAAATGAGACTTGGAAAATCCCTTCCACATTTTCCAGAACTGTCGGACTGTACGTTAAAGATTTTTCTTCATATCCACCGAGCCATTCTAGCCTTGCAAGACCTGCATTGCATTTAAGAACATCGGGGTGAATAGCACCAAAAGCTCCGGTGAAAATCTCTAATGCCTCGGTAAAACACTGCCTAGAACGTACGAAGTTTTCTAAGTGGAGGAAAATAATTCCTTGTTTTGACAGAATAGAAGCAACTGTTGTGTGATCTGCACCACATCTTTCACGAACAACTGGTACAAGATAGGAGAAATAGCTACAGACGAGGTCAAGATTGCCTTGATAAAGGTGAATGTCGGCCACAGTCTCCACAATTGTGACTGAGAAGTCTAACGAAAAGTTTGTACCAATATCAACAAGTTCCTTCATCCCTTGCAAGGTCGAAATCTTAGAGTCAATAAATGCCGTGGCCCCACTAGAAGCTTGAAGCATCAAACAAACTAAGCGGATTTTTAACAAAAGGAAGATTAACAAACCCACGTTTAGGTGAAATTTTGTTTCACAAAATGCTTTTAAGTTTTCAAATTCGACCAAAGCTTTTCTAAGGTTTCTGTTATCCAAAGAAGTTACGGCTTCATTGTAATCAACAACTGCAGTGATTCTTGGTCGTATGGCAAAGCGACTTACATTAGAAAGGAGATCGTTTTGTAATTGCATGTCGATTACATAACTTCTTTCAGCCTGTTGCACTAGTCGTAAATTGTTTGTTATTGTTGATATTTTCTCTTGGACAGTGACACACTCTTTTCCTGTTTCGACGACCTTAAATATTGCAAGAGCTCTTTGAAGACTAACTTTTGCGTTTTGAAAGCTTCCTTTGCTAATATACACGCAACCTAAGTTGTTAAGGGCAATTCCAAGGCTAATAATGGATTCTTCTTCTTCAGCATTCTCAATGTACATTATCGACTGCTCAAATACTTTCTCAGCTATATCAACACAAATCGTGATTAAAGCAACAGCACCAAATGCATTGGCAAAGTGGACAAGGAAGTTGTTCTTAGGAGTTGTTTGGGACAGCAAAATTGCTCCAGTTTGAAGACCCCACGCCACATTATCTATCGATATTTTCTCTGCCTTGTTTACTATCTCTATCTCCTGTAAAGTGGGTTTGGATAACTCACTTGGCGTCAAGTCCTGGAAATACTGGTGAGTTTTTTGTAATGACTCTTTTACTCGAACTAAGTCCCCCTGTTGCAGGTAATTAACCGTTAATCTAAGCAATTCAGTTCTGTCTGGGGGATCCATTTTTCTTGTTTCTAGGATAGAGAAAAACAGCTGGTTCATTTGGAGTAAGTCCCTCTAACTTAAATGACGGTGATGGTGATATTGATGGTTGTAAAGTTTACTTACAGATTTCTTTGCTCCACCATAATATAACATTCATTCTCATTTAAAACAGTTGGACCAAATTGGAAACGTGATGTGAAACGATCCTTGAAAGAATCCTCTCGGTTTTTTTTTCTTTTATTTGTATTAAGGGACTAGTTAAAGTGGAATTAGTCGCTAAAAACAGAGTGTATGGGGGAACTTAGAAAATTGACTGTAAATCAACCAACCAACTCCCCCTCCCCCCCGTGATAAATCTTGACAGGTCCCTAAACGACAGGTCCACAAATCTACATGACTTACATGTCTTACAGTACATTCCGCGTGACCTTTTGTCAAGTTGCCTCATCTGTTAAATGAAAAAAAAAAGCGAAGGTCTGAAGGAGATTTACTTCTCTGTTAAAGCCTCCAGGAAAACGATATGTGTTTTCCGTAGAGTTAGGGTTGACTAGACTCGTATTTGGCAAGCAAACGCAAGAGGAAGTTTCTTCGTTCGAGCCCGTCCACGATTAGACTCCCGCTACTCAGTTGTTACGTGAGTTGGTAGAGGGCCCGTTGGTTATGGAAGTGAAGTGGAAATAGTTGTCTAGGCAACATTATTATAATTATGTACATACCGTTCCGTCACCCCATGTAGTCCAACACTCCTGAGTTTGTCTACATTTGGATCAGCTGACAGGACAGAACCTACAAACACGAGAAACCGAGCGAAAAGCTTTAAGATGCCCTTGTTTGAGAAGGAAAGAGAACCCCTCATAGAGTACTGCACAGTTTAAGAACATTGGCTCGCTGATCCTTATTTGGATGGGATGCCATAATGCGATTTACTTATAGTGTTTATATTTAATTAAGTCAAAGGGCTATCAACTGGCAGTATATCGTGAACAATTAGTACGCAAATAGATCATTTTATGGTTCAGTCTACAAGTCGCAATATAGCATATGATTACGTGAGCTTGCTGATCTTTCAGCAGAGCATGAAATTTGGTTATACACCACATCGTCCACATGCGGACATAAAACTGAAGATTATCACTTGCTTGTGAAACACTAAAGTGAACTTTCTCATAACATGTTTTAAGAAATTAATCACGGAAATATACGCAGAATTACAAGTCAAAAATTAATCAACGTTATAGTAAGCGTCTGTTACAAATTTTTAAAAGTTTCTTAGTTCGTTCGTCCGTTTTCTTGGAACGCATCAGCAGCTTCCGGCCCAGTGCAGTTACATTTTAGAAGATCGCACATACACAGTTTTTTAACAAGTCTATAGCACATATTCCAATCTAAAACCAAGGGTATATTGGCGCCAAGTGTGTTACTCATACATGTAAGCATGCGTTTGAGGATGTGCTTTGTGAAATATCAACGCAAATAAGCTACAAATTTTACAAATACAAAGCTTTAGAAATAATCATTGATATCTACCATAGACATATAGAGAAATCATCAGCTAGGTAGAAGAGGCCATTGTACGACGTGCTGGCGCGGAATCTCGACTTTATAATGTATTAGAGCGGGGTAACGATTTTGGCGCCGAAATTTGAAACTTATTGCGTGATGTACTAATAATAGTGGCTTACTTCTACTTAAGTAGTTAACATTACCCGAGTATCCAGCCAAATATTGTGGTTACCATTCACAAGAAAGACATATCTGGTGGTTTTGTGCGCTTTGGCGGGTTGCACGACAGAGCGGTTAAAACGAGTGACCGTTCTACTAGAGTTTTCAAGCTCCGCTGCTTGTTCTCATAGCTTCAACGCCACAGTAGAGGGGGAAGTAAAGTGAAGTTAAGTGTCTACCACCATTCGAGTTAAAAAATATTGGAACTGACACTACGAGTCGCTACGATTGTCTACGATCAGATGTGAAACGAGAACAGCGAACGCTCGTTTTGACTGACTGAAAAAAGTTACATTCGGAATTTTGCTAACAACTGACAGGATATTATAGTTACGTTTTCTCAGAAACGAAACAAATCTATTTCAGCTTCAGGGCGATATTTACCTGTAGGGAAAAAGAAGCCAGTTGAAAGGAAGTTTGTTATTAAAAAATGTAAAGAACCTTAAGCTGGAAAAACAAACTTGTGAACGCACGATCTTATTAAAAAGATCCTAAAATGCAGGAAACACTAAAAAGAGAAGCGAATATATCACAAATAGAGAAATCTAGCGATTCAGAGATTTTAGCTTGCAAGTCATAATTTACAACTTGAAAAATGCAAACTTTTCCTCGTTTCGCGTAAATTAGTAATGTC